GATGGACTGAAACCTTCTGTAAACTGTGAGCTAAATACACCTTTCCTCTTTTAAATTTGGGTGTTGGTGTTTTGTCTTCGTCATAAGAAACCTAACTAGGACAATGACTCTGCTTCTGAGAGCAGCGTTGCCAGATTCTCAAGTACATGTTTCCTAAAGACAGTGTTCTAAGAAAAGGAGGGAGGATGTCTCTTTCCATTTTTTTCTAAGAGGCTTAATATAGCATCTTGGTTGTCATTTTTGTCTGCCCTCATTCTGCTTAGAGCAGTTGCACATGATGTCTGGGTGCCCATCAGGACTTCTGACTCCAGTGTATACTATCGAAGAAAAATTACTTTATCCTAAGGCTGGGAATAAAATTATATTGGTAAAATTTTATAAACATGAATTTTTCTTTCAGAAAAAAACTATATTGAAATGATGTGAAATACCTGCATGTGGTGACACACATTTGTGTGGGAGACTGAGGCAGTAAGACTTCAGTGATTCTAAGGCCAGTTTGAACTGTATGTTGAGATTGTGCCTCAAAAAATGGAAAATAAAGGAAATATATCTTCTGGCTTGTATCTTGTTGTTCTCTCAAAACAACAAGAGGGAACAACAGTCATAGGTAGGGAAATATGAAGGTAGGGTGTGTGATGCCGGGATTAAAGATATGATCCTGGGATTAAGAGTGTGATTCAGGGATTATGGGCACCCCAATGTAGGTGTGGGTGACACTAGGCAAGGGATGGCAGCCTGGATGGAATATAAAAGGACAGAGAGAATCAGCTTTGCTTTCTTCTGCGTTCCCCGCCATGTCATGGACTGTGTCAGCAATTCCCGTCGTCCTTGCTGCCCCACCTTGGAGCCAGCTGACTGTGGGATGAAAGTTCTACTAACTGTGAGATACACTAAACCTTTGCTCCTTTCACTTTGAGTGCCAGGTATTTTGCCTCAACAACAAGAAAAGTAACTGTGATAGCTAAAATGACTCAAATTTGTGAGATTTCCCTTTTCTGGTCCCACTCCTACAACTCAGTGATAACAAGTCCGTGTTACAAACCAAGATCTGAACCAGAAGAGCCACTTGCTAGCTCCGGGCTACACACACTCTTATTCATGCACTTCTCCTGGTGCTGTCAGCACCCTCACATTATTTGGTAGCAGACAATGAACAGGAACCATGGACTTCCATGAAGATTTTCAGCACTGAACTTGTTTGAAAATTCCCAACCTTCTTGGGATCACAGAAAATGTGTAGATCTGATGTAGAGAGGAAGGGGCCGGGGAGATGGCTCAGTAGAATAAGCACTTCCCTGATGTAGAGATGAATCACAAAATCTGGCCCATTGAAAGCAGCAAGTTCACCAGACTAGGGGATTGTGAAGAATCAGCCTGTACTCCTGCCCCTGAGAGCATCACCTTCAGGATCCAGAGGCACACTGGGC